AGTACGTGCCTTGAGACGCATTGACTGATGCTGTGTGTATGGACTTTTTCTCCCCCGGTTTCCTGCAGACTCAGTGTAATGCCGGTCAGCATGAGTCTAGAAGGCAGATGGAAACTCAGAGGGTGAGAAGAGCGAGGAATGCATGGCCTGATGAACAAGGGTCAGGAGTCTGCACAATGGAACTTCAAAACCTAGGGAGGCAGAGGCGGGCAGATCTCTGTGAGCTCGAGGCCAGCCTGGTCTACAGAGTGAGTTCCAGGACAGTCAGGACTGTTCCACAGTGAAACCCTGTCTCAACCTTCTCCCTCACCACCACTACCACCAAAACAACCTAGGGCAGAACTCTGTAGCTAACACGGATCTAAGATGTGGGACCGAGGGCCACAGCAGCTGTCATGTCTACAAGATCTGTGCTGGCTTCTGTGGCTGTGATCAAATGCTCTGACGGACGCTTCCCCCTTGGGGCGAAGGCTCTGTTCTGGTCCACAGACTGCTCTTCATCCACTGTGGACAAGGGGCAAGCTTAAGTTTGAGACACTGGTCACATGGCAGCCACAGTCACGCAGAGAGCAGTGAGTGCCACCTAGCTCCTATGCTTGTTCTTTCTGTCCAGGACTCGGTACCTGACAGTGGGCTTCTCATCTCAGTGAGGGTGTCCCCACAGGCACACCTAGGGGCCGTCTCCGGTGACCCTAGAGTCATGTGGATGACACTGGCAATCTCCACTTCTTCCCTTTGTATTCGTGTATAGTCTTGTACCCTAGGGTTGCTCTCATGGGGGAAAGCTGGGAGCCACTTTTTAGAAAGAGTCCTCAAGGGCTATGACTAGTCCCTGCTTCAGCTAGCTCTGTCTCTTCTTTGTTTTGGGGTTTTTTTGGGGGGGAGGGGGGATTGTTTTGTTCTTTTCGTTGTTGTTGGTTTTCAAGACAGGGTTTCTCTATGTAGCCCTGGTTGTCCTGGTATTTGTGTGTCACTACCACCCAGCTTCTTCTTTGTTTTTTACTTTAAAAAATTTATTTACTCTCATTCTGTGTGTGTGTGTGTGTGCGTGCATGCATGCGTGCGTGTGTGGAGGTGAGAGAGAGAGAGAGAGAGAGAGAGAGAGAGAGAGAGAGAGAGGGAGAGAGAGAGCACGCAGGTTGGAGCACATGTGTGAAGGTTAGAGGACAACTTGGGAGTCACCAAGCCTGGCGGCAGGCACCCTTGCCTGCTGTGCCCTCTCCATGGCCCCACTGTCTGTGTCTGTCACTAGTGCCCTAGGGTCTGTCTTTTACATCGATTTCGTTCATCAAACCATGAGTTAGGAATCGGCATAGGCTGTAGATAGGCAGCTGGAAATAGCACCATGCCTATTTGTGGAAATGAGATCGCGCTCAGTTTAAAGGCGTGTGTGGGGGCACGATGGAAATACTCCTGGATGCGCTTTTCCATTCAGAGTGATCAGCACAAGTTGTGTTCTGAGCCACTTGGCTCCTGTCTGTTCCAGTCCACAAAGGTCTTGTTTCGCTTAGCGAAACAAGATTTTCCTAAACACCAAAAGAAGACTTTTCCACACGGTGGCTAGTCAAGTCTCAAGAAAGAAATTGCTGTGTCAGACTTTCCCAGGCAGTCCACTGGACTACTTGGGTTCAGATTCCAGCTGCACCCTTTTCATCCCTGCGGCTTGGTCAAGTAACCTGTCTCTGAAGTGGACACGCCCATAGTCCTCTCCTCACCCTGTGGCTATGACAAGTGACTTCACCTGTAGCTTGTAGGTGGCACATGGTGCACAGCAGTCCTTGAGCCAGAAGTGTGTGTTGCCGTTACTGGGGGATGGTAGATTGTGCCATTGTCACATGGATTGTCCTTGAGGTCCAAGGGGACCCTAACTAGTTCCCTTTCATCTCTATCATACACTTTTGCATTGGACCCCAGCATGATGTGTGCATGGGTGGTTTGTGGGGCCACTTGTGGGCTACCAAGATGGCTATTGGGCAGGAGGACCTGTGGTGTGAACAAGATGAATTCCCTTAGAGGTTACATTGGTGTGCAGAGACCCTGGTGAAGGGTGTGGGTTTATATGTAAGCACACATGTCAGCCGCTAGCATATTCTGTACTGAGATCTGTTACGGTCAGTGCAGCCTTTGGTCTTCTGTCCCTTGTGTTCACGGAGCCTCTGTTGGAGAGCGATAGCTGCCATCCCCAGTCCCATGGTTGTGTGCAGCACTGTGGCACGCTAGGGCTCTGTCAATCACCCTTGAGCCCACAAAATTTTAAATCAACACTGGCTTTGACTTTGAAGACTTTTGGGGACCATTACTGATGTGCATTTGCCATCTTATCCTGTCCCCTTGCTCACACTTGCATATCGTCTCCTTTCTACCCGCACAGCATCGTGCCCGCCCTCAGCGCGTCTTCTCCTTTTTACCCACACTGCATTGTGCACGCCCTCAGCGCATCTTCTCCTTTTTACCCACACTGCATCGTGCCCGCCCTCAGCGCATCTTCTCTTTCTACCCGCACAGGATCGTGCCCGCCCTCAGCGCGCCTTCTCCTTTTTACTCACACAACATTGTGCCCGCCCTCGGTGCATCTCTCCTTTATACCTGCACAGCATCGTGTCCGCCCTCAGCGGGTCCCCACTTCTCGCAGTGTCTCTCCCCAGCACTGCAGCGCACACAGTGCACCCACTCTGCTGCCATCAGCACCTCCGGTGTCAGAGGAACCCCCAGGCCCTGCCACACCCATGACCACCTTCCTCTAAAACCGTTATTGTTACCGGAAAGGAGGGGGGAGGGCGCTAGTCAAAGAATCCCATGCTAACTTCAAAAGATTCCAATTATATTTCTTTATTATAAGGGGCAAACTCACGGAACAGGAATTGTAGTAAGAAGGCCGCTTGTTCATTTCCCAGCTGCCCAGACTCCTGAAATAACCACACAGAAACTGTATTAATTAAATCACTGCTTGGTCAATTACTTAAGCGTATTGCTAGCTAACTCTTACATCTAGATTTAGCCAATCTCCATTATTTTATGTTTTACCATGAGATTCATGGCCTACAGGCAAGGTTTCAACATGTCTATCTCTGGCAGCAGCTCCATGACTTCTCTCAACTCCACCTCCTTTCTCCCAGCATTCAGTTTAGTTTTCCCCGCCTAGCTCTACTCTACTCCATCACAGGCCTAAGCCAGTTTCTTTATTAACCAATGGTATTCACGGCATACAGAGGGGAATCCCACATCAAGGAATGAGAAGTCCAACATCAGGTGTGTAATGCGAGAACCAGAAAGAGAGCGAGCCCTGGGCAGGCTGGTGGGTTTTCTCTAGGTACCCAAAAGGTCACACCCTAAGTGGTCCAGCCTCTCAAAGGTTATTGGCTGAAGGAGTTCCCCATCACTTCCCCATTTTGTCTGAATAAGAGAGTTTCAAACCCAATACAAAACTATATACACTAGGAACAGATATCAAGTATAAAATTAGGATTACAACCAGCATAAACAATATTAAGCAAGGAACATATGCTAAAAGTTTTAATAAACATTCTATGCTAAGGAGTCTAAGTGTTGCATTGGAAATGGCTTGACTAAATCATAAGAGGAAGATAACTACAACTATTCAATCTTCAGCCCCATTGAAGGCCTGAGAAGGGAGATAATATTACTTGAGTAGGCAGGAAGTATGACCAAGCAGCTCCAAAATGTGCAGTATATGACAGAGACAACTGGCTACCTGAGCAATCACCCAAATTCTCATTTGCAATGTTGAAGCAACCAATTTTGACTCAGGCCTAGAGTAACTGACACACCATTTTCAGAGGCAGGAAAAATTTCAGAACCATCTTACCCTGTCTTGGCAAGGTTTGGCAGTCCTTTTCCTTATCTCCTACTTATCCAGTCCGGACACCATGTACTTTGTTAGTGGTCAAGGCATGGGCAGTTCCAAAGGCCAATTGTGCCAAGAAGAAAACAAACCCTCAGTGGAGTGTCTTCAGTGTTCCACATTCTCTCTGGAATAGATTGGTGCTGTTAGGAGCAATTGTGTCTCACATCAACAGAACCCTAAGTTATTTAAATGCCATGTTCTACAGATCCTTGAAGTGGTTGAAGATTACCTGTCTATGCAGAATACAATCTTTATGTATCTAAAGAACCTAATTAATCTGACTATATGTATAACAAACATGAATGACTATTGACTTACAATACTAAATACCTGAATAACTTAAAGACTAAGACTTTATATCAGAATATTAAATAATCTGAGTCAGTAGAGCATGAGACTATTAATCTCAGGGTGGTGGGTTCAGGCCGTATGTTGGGCGTCAGATGTTACTGGAAAGGGGGGTGAGGGCGTGAGACAAAGAATCCCAAGCTAACTCCAAAAGATTCCAATTTTATTTCTTTGTTATAAGGAGCAAACTCATGAAACAGGAATGAGAAGTCCCACATCAGGTGTGTAAAGCAGGAACCAGAGAGAGAACAAGCTCTGGGCGGATTGGCAGTTTTTCTCTGGGTACCCAGAAGGTCACACCCTCACCTGGCCCAGCCTCTTAAAGGTTACTGGCTGAAGGAGGTTCCCCATCACGTTACAGACGTCCCAGGCTTCCATCTGTCTGTCCTTTTGCTCCTCCTCCCTGCCTTTCTCATTTCCTGTGGCTCCTGGGCTTTTGCCTGGGAAAAGGTGCTTAAAGATTGTGACCTCTTTGCCAGGTGAACAAAGGGGTTTTCTCATCAGACCTTTTGAACCGCATTATTTGAGCCTCCAGTATCTGAGCCAGGAGTTGGTGCTGCATGTTAGGAGCATTAGGAGGACGGGGAATTAGAGGACGGATTAAAGCAGAAGAGGAGCAGGCGGACAGTGAGTGGGAAATTAGTGTGTGCTGGTGTGTTACCAGCTGAGGGTGTGAGCCAAGGGCGCTTGAAAATTCCGTGTGTCCAGGTGATGCCTTAGATTTTATCTTCCAAAGTCTAACTGTCCTAAGATGCTGACACCATCTCATCTTTTTCTGTCTCTCTAGAATTTTCTCCTTCTTGGACATAGTAACTCTTTGTCGATGTGCACAGATTTCCAAGGTAGAGTATTGTCTGGCTGCTAGTGTCAATGAGAGGGATGAGCTTGGGTCAAACAACATTACAACTAAACGTTTGGGAAGACAAAACATTACCTGTTCTCAGTGGATGTGTCCTTCTCACCCCACCTCCTCTCTTACCTCCACTTCCCAGGCATGGAACATCTTAGCCCTGGACGGAAGCAACTGGCAGAGAATAGACCTTTTTAACTTCCAAACAGATGTAGAGGTAGGTTAGTTCACTTAAGTTATTTTGTTTGTATTTATTGTGTGTGTATGTGTGGACATGCGTTTGCTGAGGGTATAAGTGGAGGTCAGAGGACAACCTGCAGGAGTTGGCTCTCAGGCCTTCAGGCTTGGTAACAGGCACCTTTACCTACTCAGACATCACACTGGTCCCACTTGTGGTAATGGTTTTTGAGCAGGGTCCCTCCATATTCCAAGCATCTCCAGCGAGTGGGCAGAACACTTCTCTCTCACTATTCACTTTGGAGCCCCTCGTTCCTCCTGCTTTGGTGTGTGAGTACAGAGAATGCAAGGACCAAGGGATCCACCTGTCCTCTGGAAAGGGATGCCTTAGTCCCTGCAGATAGCACCCAGCAGTAATTCCTGATCACTCACACCATTCTGAGCATGCCTTGTGTGCTAATGTGTTGGTCCTCTCAATATCAGACTTCAGAGGGGCTGCAGAGACAACTTGGTGGTTAAGAGCACTTGCTGTTCCTGCAAAGGGTCTGGGTTTGATTCCCAGTACCACATGGTGGCTTACAACCACCTGTAACTCCAGTTCTAGGTGATCAGATGTCTCTTGTGACCGCTAAGGGCTCCCCCACCCACATTGTGCACATAAACTCACACAGATAAACACACAAATTGATTAAAAAAAATTAAAAAAAAACAAACTGAAGAAACTGAGGAACAAATAGGTTGAGTCTGAGTACTTGCCTAGGGAAGTGGGCTATGCACCTGCGGGTTGACAGAAAAGGCAGAATGAAGTGTTCAAGTGTCAGGAGCTTCCTTCCAGTGCCCCTCTTTCTGAGTGTATGTGCGTCTCTGAGGTGAGGAATTTCCACACCCTTGGAGACTGGACATGTGAGACCAGGAGATGGCTCAGTGGGTAAAGGCACTTGCTACCAAGCCTGACTATCTGAGATTAGTTCTGGGGCCCCACATAGTAGAAGGAGAAAACAAACTCTTGCAAATTGACCTCTGATCTTCACACATATGCCATGGTACTTTTACATGCATACATGCATAAATAAATAAAACTTTAAAAGAAAAAAGCAATTGGACATTCCGCATCAATATTTGTAGTTATGAAAAACGCTATCCACCCATAGCTGAGGAACTGTTGACGACCGGTAGCTGTTGAGAGAGGGAGGAGTCAGTTTTCTTTAAGGATGTAACCCCTGAGCCGGGCAGTGATGGCGCACACCTTTAATTCCAGTACTCAGGAGGCAGAGGCAGGTGGATCTCTGTGAGTTCAAGGCCAGCCTGGTCTACAGAGTGAGTTCCAGGACAGGCAGGACTACACAGAGAAACCCTGTCTCAAAAAGCAAAAAAACAAAACAAGAATATGGCCCCTGGTATCATGGGGAGGGAGCTTCCTAATCCTTGGACAGGCAGTGAGGCTGTCAGAATCCTGACTGTGCTGGTGGCAGACAGGTGAGGACCGACTCAGCATCGGGTGCGGCTCTAGCTGCATCTGGAAATCTTCATTTACAGCTTATTCTGTTATGAAATAAAGAGCATGAAAAAGTGACCATCTCCCACCTTTCTCCATTTAAGGGCCGAGTTGTGGAAAACATCTCCAAGAGGTGCGGTGGCTTCCTCAGGAAACTCAGCTTGCGGGGCTGCATCGGCGTTGGGGACTCCTCCTTGAAGTGAGTGACAGCCACCACAGCTGGTGGGTGACATCAGCAAAAGCAAAGCAGCCATTCTGTCCTTTTCTCCCACTGAGTCCTTTCTGTGGTAATTTGCATCATGGGAGCTATGGCTTTGGAGCCACTGCCACCCCACTGTCCTGAAGGGAACAGCCTGGCGACAAATGGCTTCAGCTGCCCAGTATGAGCTCACGCTCCTGGACACCAGTGGGGCAGTTACAGAACGTGTGTGGAAGTGCCAGGAGTGTCCACCAAATAGCTGGCAGCAGAGGGCCGTGCCCGGGCCCTGAGTATTTTCTCTCTCCTCCGCCCCTCTACCCTCTCCTCTAGTTTCCTCCGCCCCTCTACCCTCTCCTCTAGTTTCTTCCAAGACTTTACTCACACACAAAGTAACTCAGAAGTGCCTGTACTGTAAGGAGGAATTCTGCTTACTCGTGATGGGACAGGTTTATTATGTTACTTTCATTATGGTGATCAATAGCACCTGTGCACCTGCATGCATGTCCCCTTCCTCCTAGGTAGCCATGGTTCATTGGAGGAGAAACAGGTTTGTTTGGCTTACAGGTTATAGCCCATCATTGAGGGAAGCCAAGGTGAGAACTCTAGGCAAGAGCTTGAAGCAGAGACCATGGAGGAACACTGGTTACTGGCTTGCCCGGCTTCCTTTTTTTGAGTGTATCCCTGGCCCACCTGCTTAGGAACCATGTCACCTGTAGTTGACACATGAAGCTAACTACAACATCAGGCTCAGTAGCAAGTGGCCCCAGGCTTGGTAGCAAGCATTTTCACCTGCTGGATCATCTCTCCAGCCCATGAAGGACTTTTTTTTTTTTTTTAAGACAAGGCCTCCTGATTATGTAGCTTTAGCTGCCCTGGAACTTGCTACCAGGATGGCCTTGAACTCACAGAGACCCACACCCTGCCTTCAGGAGGGTCTTTTAAATAGAATGTAGTAGAAAGTAGGGAAGGCTAAAGGAAGGGAGGGCCAATACAGGTTGTGTGGCTTGACCCCGGTCAACACCCATGAGCTACCACAGTGAACAATGCCATTTTGAAACAATCACTGTACACTGTAGATATACTGATACATTAAAGACTAGTTCAGGTTGGGTGTGGTGGTGTTTGCCTCTAACCCCAGCCCTCAGAAGCAGAGGCAGGCAGATCTCCTGAGTTCAAGACCAGCTTGAACTGTCCTTGGCTGTTCTGGAACTTGCTCTGTAGACCAGGTTGTCCTGGAGTTCACAGAAATCCTCCTGCCTCTGCCTCCTGAGTGCTGGGTTAAAGGTGTGCACCACCACGCCTGGTAGGAAACACTGTTGAGAGGTCAAGAATGTTTGGTGATTTGTCCTGAGTTTGAAACCAAACATCTTAATTGATTATTTAGATATCTGTGCGTCGGAGGGAGACGCTGGTCCTGTGTGTGGCTCTTGACGCTCAGCACAGTTGCCCTGGATTCAGTCATTCATCTGGCTGTAGCTACCATTTGTTCCCTTTTCCTGCGGAGCAGTAACATCCTATAGATGTGCAGGTGCTATCGAGGTGTCAGGCTAACCATCTCATACACTTGTCCTAAGGGGTTGGGGACAATGGCTCAGGACTTAAGAGCACTTGCTGCTCTTGCCGGGTTCCCAGCACTCATGTCCAGGAGCTCAGAACCTGCTGGCTATAACTCCTGCCTCGGGATCCAGCGCCCTCCTCTGGCCTCCTTGGGCACCTGCACTCACATGGTACACATGGACAAATACATATTCATAAAATAAAAGTAACCTCAAACAGTTGCATTTAATACAGTAACCTTGCTGAACTTCAGAGCTTAGCCAAGTGTTGGGTGTGTTTGGAACACGCTATGACCACAGAACTGAGCAGAAGCCTCCAATACACAGCCTGTCCCATAGCACAGATGTGAGTGTCTTATATACTTTTTCAAACATCTGCATCTAAACACAGCACAGCCTCTAGAATAGCCTCACTGTTCATTCTGGTTATCATGCGGCCAGCTGGGAGCTGTGCCTCCCACCCAGTGTCTGACTGCAGGGGTTAGTGAGCTCTACTCCCCACCCCAGTGTCTGACTGCAGGGGTTAGTGAGCTCTACCTCCCCCCACCCCCCACGTCTGACTGCAGGGGTTAGTGAGCTCTACTCCCCACCCCAATGTCTGACTGCAGGGGTTAGTGAGCTCTACCCCCCCCCACGTCTGACTGCAGGGGTTAGTGAGCTCTACCTCCCCCCACCCCCCACGTCTGACTGCAGGGGTTAGTGAGCTCTACTCCCCACCCCAATGTCTGACTGCAGGGGTTAGTGAGCTCTACCCCCCCCCACGTCTGACTGCAGGGGTTAGTGAGCTCTACCTCCCCCCACCCCCCACGTCTGACTGCAGGGGTTAGTGAGCTCTACTCCCCACCCCAATGTCTGACTGCAGGGGTTAGTGAGCTCTACCTCCCCCCACCCCCCACGTCTGACTGCCGGTGTTAGTGAGCTATGGTCATTGTGGCCTGAATGCCTGACAGGAGCGACTTAAGGGAAGTTTCTTTTAGCTCCCTGTTTCAGTTAGTCTGTGCTGTCCACCCCGCACACATTGACAGTATGTGGCAGACACTGCTTGGTGACCAGGAAGCAGAAAGCAAGGCATCAGTGAACCATGAGAGAGAGCTCCAGGAACCCACCCCAGTGACCTGCTTCCTCTGACTAGGTGCCTCTCCTCAAACTCCACAGCTTCCTCAGCTTTACCAGCAAGGGCCCGTGCTCCACACAGGAGCCTGTGGGAACAGGGCAGATTTAGGCCTTAGCAGTGCATAGCAGCAAGGGAGGAGCTGAAACTCACAGTGTGAGTTCTCCTAACTGCTTGTCATTGTCAGACAACCATTCAAAGTACCAAATCTAACCACTTGCCACCCAGGGACTCTGCTGCAGCGGGAAGTCCTGTGCAACGGGCAGTCCTGTGCAGCTGCTGTCAATCAGGGGCTCTGCTGCAGCGGGCAGTCCTGTGCGGCCACTGTCAGTCAGGGGATCTGCTGCAGCGGGCAGTCCTGTGCAGCTGCCGTCAGTCAGGACCTGCTGCAGCGGGCAGTCCTGTGCAGCAGGACTGTCCACTATCAGGGATCTACTGCTTGTGTTCATTTATGTTGATGGACAGCTGGTGGCGTTCCCGTTTGCGTGGGTGTTAATTTCTCCTGCAGTGGGTCCCATAAGCAATGCTTGCTGATGTTTGCATGCTTGCACGATGATCCATTTCAGTGTGCCCCAGCCTCCAGCTTAAACATTTAAGAAGCTTCCAATCTATTTTAGAAGCAGAATGTTCTATTTTAGGTTCCCATGGTGGTCTGTGACTCTCCAGGTCTTCCATGTTCCTGCCAAAGTTTCGTGTGGCATAATTTCGCTGTGGCCCTAGTAGTGCACAGTGGCATCTTGTGGTTCTGCATTTTCTGATGGTCCTGATGCCCCTAGGTGTCTTCTTATGCTCTGACTCACTGCCATAGATCTTGGGGAGATGTCTGTCTAGGTCATGTGCCCATGTTTTTTTCATAGGTTGTTTTCATTCATTTTTTGAGAGTCTTTTTTTTTCTTTTTTGTTTTTCGAGACAGTTTCTCTGTGTAAGTCTTGGCTTTCCTGGAACTTGTTCTGTAGACCAGGCTGTTCTTGAACTCACAGAGATCCCCCTGCCTCCGCCTCCCAAGTGCTGGGATTAAAGGCATGCACCACCATTGCCTGGCTATTTTGAGAGTTCTTATTACATTTTTGGGTTCCAGTGCTTGGCGCAATACCTTTGCAAATGCGCTCTCCCAGTCTCTTAGCTGCCTGTCTGAAGGGAAGTTTCTGTGCATATTTATTTTATTTAGTTTTTAAATTTTGTGTTTGTGTGTGTGGGGGCCTTCATGGATCAATGTGCATCACATGTGCACAGGTGTCTGCAGAGGCCAGGGGAGGGTGTGGGTTCCCCTGGAACTGGAGATATGGACAGGTGAGCGTCATGTGGGTGCTGGGAACCGAACTTGGATCCTTTGGAAAAACAATAAGTGCTGCCGACTCACTGCGTGGCCTCCTTCCAGCCCCAAAGCAAAGTTCTTAATGAAAGACATTTTCCGGACTTTTTCCTTATGGAACATAAGAACTTATGCCTAACCCAAGGTCACAAACACCCTGTCCTGTGTTTTCCTTGTAAATGTCTTTAAAATTTTGTTCGTTTTTGTTTTCTGTGTATGTGCGAATGCCTTCATGAGTGTGCATCATGTGTGCCCGGTGCCCATGGAGGCCAGGAGAGGAACTGGAGTTATCGGCTGCCATGTGGGTGTGGGGACCGGAATGCAGGTCCTCTGCAGAAGCAGCCAGTGTTCCTGAATGCTGCACCCCTCTCTGGCTCCACTGCCCTCAGAAGTTTTGTGATTTAAACTCAGATCTATTTTGAATATTTGAGGGCAGTTGTTAGTGACTGAACCCAGGGTCCCACTCAGCCATGCCCCTGACCAGAGCTGGTTTTTCTATGTAACATGGGGTCATATTCGGGGTTGGGTTTTGCCTATAAACCTCTTACTATTCTAACAGTCTATGTCTTATTGTCAGTCACACTCTGTTTAGCAACGCTGTCACGCCTTGAAGTGAGACAGCTGCTCTCCCAGCCCTGCTCCTCTAGGACGCTGTGTTAGCTGCTCCGGTGGCCGCCTTCTCCTGGGCATCCTGGTGGGGTCTCAGGGCAGACTTGATACTACAGATCCATCTGACGAGAAGTGGCACCCTGAAAACACAGATCTGTCACATGCCTGTCACAGTGCCTGTGTATATACCTGTTCAGGTCTCAGCTGGCGCTGGGTGGTGTGAAAGCTGTATACATATTTTGTCAAACTTAGTTCTAAATATTCTTTTCTTCTAAATATTTTTTCAAAAATATTTACTTTAACTTACATTGGGCATGTTTATCTGTTGCCGAGTGGGGTATGTGTATCTGAGTGCAGTGTTCACGGAGGCCAGAAGAGGATATCAGATCCCCTGGAGTTGGAGTTATAGGTGCTGGGAACTGAACTCGGGTCCTTTCCAAGAGCAGTATGTACTCTTAACCACTGGGCCATCTCTCCAGCCCCTGCCTCTACATATTCGGAAGTGCTGTTGCAAGTCGTACACTTTATTCCAACCTCACTGTGCATTGCTAGAAATAGAGAAATGATTAATTTTTATACGTTGTTTTTCTTGCCCCCTGCAGTGCTGGAGATGGAACCTCATATATATGCACCATGTATGCAGTTTGCCACTGAGCTGCATCTCACACCAGCTCCTGTGTGTTTGTGTGTGAGCACATGTGTTACTGCAGATTGTCCCCAGAGCCTTGTGCACACCAGGCAAATCCTCTGCCATTGGTGCACGCCCTGCCCTGCGGACTCACTGATCTTTTTCCCGCCTACCGTATCTAATTTGTTGTTAATCCATCCACACATTTCATCACAGCCATGTTTAGCATGTCATCTTCTCAAATGCACAAAATCCTCTCATGTCTGCACGAAATGGCTCACACTGCATTCTGGGTAAAGCAGACAGTACTTCCAGTGCCCTTGCCTGCTGTCTTTGCTGACAGTTTTGAGTAGACTTGGATAGGACAGAGAAGTTCTCTGTTCCTTGCAGATTTAGTTTCCTCTGCTGTTGAAAACGCGCAGGGTTTTGCTGGGTGTTGGGCAGGCATCATGGGTTCCACCTCCTTGGGTATGGAGCAGTTCTCGTCCCCATCAGTGCTCTGTTGAGTTTAGGTCTGGGGTGCAGCTGCTCTATTTAACGATTCTTTGTTTCGGTCCTATCCTTTGTTGGCCTGGGGCACACAGTGTGCAGAATGGTAGATTGCTTGCATAGCCTGTGAGAGGCCCATGATCCCCAGCACCACACACACACAAAAAATCATTCGGTCCATTAATTAATTAATTCATTAAAGACGTGTTTGTTTGCACATATGTGTGTGCACCACATGTACATACACCATAGAGGCCACAAGAGGATCCTGGATTCCTTGTAACTGGAGTTATAGATGGTCTTGCACAGCCTTGTGGGTGTGGGGAACCAAACTCAGGTTCTCTGCAAGAGCAGTAAGAGCTCTTAACCACCGCCTCATCTCTTCAGCACCCCCCCCCCCCCCCGCCAGTAATTAATTAAAGTAAAAGACAGGTTGAGCCGAGTGGCATTTCAGTGAGGCTACTTCTGCATCCCTGAAGCTCGGCTTTTCTCACTACCCAATCCCAGAAACCGACATATTTTTAAGTTTTGCAGGTAGAAGTAGCTGCCGAACCCCACCAAGGGGCCTCGGCAATCTTCAGTCTCATCCTTCTAGCTAGTTCTCTCCCCAGCCTCACACGCAGACCGCAGGGTCACACATGGCAGCTGCTGGCATCTGTTCCACTTACACTGTTTGAGCATCATGGACCTTGGAGCTTATCCAGTTTGGTCCTCCACCCTATACATTGGCAGGACAGGGTGAGCTCCGTGGCCATGAAACAACTGGGGCTCCATTCTTCGAGACTCGCTGACGTCATATCCGAGGAAGACGCAGATTGCCTGAGAACATCCTGGCGAGTAGTGGCAGTGGTGTGGTTATCTGCCTCTGCCCTTCCTCTCACCTACAGTCGAGGTTCTTCATGCGTTGGGGTCCTTGTCAGTAAACTTGGGTCTTGAAACTAGTGATACTGACAGTGATCAGAATGCCCCCGGGGCACAGTACAGGAAGGATTTCACCCCTGCTCCAAACTGATGTTTTCAGTGCGCAGGCCTCCCATCTCAGTTGATCCCCAAGGGTGGTGGCGGGGGTGGCGCCAGGCTAGCAACAGGCACTGCCTGAGAGCCTCCTAGGTTCCTGAACCCAAGGAGTTGTGGCTCTCCGCCAAAGAGTCTGTGGCCTTTGCTGCTACAGGGAGGATTTGGAAAGTGCTGTTCTAAGTGGATGGTTGTGCTGCCCTCTAGTGGCCACTCTGCAGCTTGCAGCCACCCCGTAACCATGGGTCTCTGGCAGCAAATCTTTGCCTTAAAGCTTTTTGTGCTACTTTGAGTAAAAACCCCACACAACTTTCGCCCCCTATCCCCTTTTAGGACCTTTGCACAGAACTGCCGAAACATTGAACATTTAAACCTCAATGGCTGCACAAAAATCACTGACAGGTAAGGAATAAAGAAGGGTCTGGGGACAGAGTGGCCACGGGGAAACCGGGTGAGAAACAAGGTTGAAAATATCTTTAGTGTGCCTGCCTTTTTCCAGCACGTGTTACAGCCTTAGCAGATTCTGTTCCAAGCTGAAACACCTGGATCTCACGTCCTGTGTGTCTGTCACCAACAGCTCCTTAAAGGGAATCAGGTGAGAGTGCTTGGCATTTGGGGTCAAGAACACACAGTGTGGGCTGAGGAGGTAGTGCAGTCTGTAAGTTTCCATCTCCGGAATCCATGTAAACAGGACCCTAGCCCTGGGGAGGTGGAGACAGGAGGATCCCTGGGGCCCACTGTGATGAGGAGGGAGAGCATGCAGAAAAAAGGACCCAGGAACCATGAAAGAGCATAGAAAGCTAGGGACTGGGGAGGGGGCTCAGTGGTCAAGAGCACATAATTGCTCTTGCAGGGGAACCAAGTTCCCAGCACCCATGTTGGGCAGCTCACAGTTAACTTAACTCCAGGTCCCTAGGTATGGTGCCCTCTTCTGGCCCCTTGGGCAACTGAACTGCACTCATAGGCACATTCTCTCTCTCTCTCTCTCTCTCTCTCTCTCTCTCTCTCTCTCTCACACACACACACACACACACACACACACAATTTAAGATTAAAAAGAGGATTTAAATCTAATTGTTTTCTATTTTCAATTCTTTTTGTAGTGGATGAGTACATAAAATTGTAATTGATACAGAATGTGTGACATCTTAAGAGAAACTCCTTGGCTTTTAGTGCCCTTTCTAATTATAAAGTTCTCTGAGATGTATAGAGTTTGAGGCTGGTCAGTGTTTGATTCAAGTAATCTAGCTGTGTCCTGTTTGTGAGTTCATTACAATCAACTGATCTTTTACAAATTAGTAACAAAAGGTGGTGAGGAATTAAGGAAGACACCCAAAGTCCACTTCTGGCCACACACACAACATGCACCCACACATATGTGCACTTACACAGAGAAACCCAAAACCCAACACTAGCATGGCTAGCGTCTCAGTCCAAGATATTCCCAGGGACTCCACTGGGTGAGGAAGAGGCGGCTCAGCTGGGTCCTGGGCTCATCTCCCCTCCAGGCTGTCTGTGGTGTGCTGAGTTTGGCACTGTCTGCAGGAGGCTGCACAGGGCGCTGTTGTTCTTTGTTCTCTCAGCGATGGTTGCCGGAACCTGGAGTATCTGAACCTCTCCTGGTGCGACCAGATCACGAAGGAAGGCATCGAGGCGCTGGTGCGGGGGTGCCGGGGCCTGAAAGCCCTTCTTCTGAGGGGTTGCACTCAGGTACAAAGGCCCGCATCTGGTCAGCCTGTTCCTCTTGCTGTGGCAGTCATCTTGGTACCCGACATGTTCTCTCACCTGGGTTCCATCCCGCTTTCATTTCCTCCATCCACTCAGTTAGAGGACGAAGCTCTGAAACACATTCAGCACCACTGCCACGAGCTCGTCAGTCTCAACCTGCAGTCCTGCTCAGTAAGTATGGACCCGGGCGCCTGTGCGCAACCGCACTGCCCATCATGCCCGCGTCCCACTGCCTGCCGCACCGGTGCTCCCGCTGCACCTGTGCCCCCACTGCCCGCCACACCTGCGTGCAGCCCCATTGTCTGGCCGCACATGCCCAAAGTGGCTGGCAAATAACCCCATGCGCATACCCTGACTCCTCTCTCCATCTTCATTGGAGCTACGAGTCTTTGTAAGGTTAGAGAACAATAATAAGGCAGCATGGTCAGCACAAGTCATCAGTCAGTCTTGAGAGTTAGTTTCTACACCTGCATTCATATTTAGAAACATATTTATATGAATCTGTATATCGCACATACGTATCCCGCCGCATAGCCCAGACAAGCTTGAAACTCACAGTTCTCATGCCTTAGCATATTGCAAGCTGGAGTTAGAGGTGCGGGCCAGTTTGCCTGGCTGACTCTTTCAAAACAACAACAACAATCAGAAATGCTGTAACTAGCCCACTGTTGAACCTAAACAGCTTGTTAATATCTTAATGTCATCTCTTTTTTGGATGAATACCCCTATAATTCCTTGGCAAGAATAACAGCTGTGGGCTGCAGAGATAGTCCAGTGAATTAAGTGCTGACTTTGCAAGCACAAGGACCTGAGTTTGATCCCTAGAACTCACATGAAGAAGCTGAGCATGGCAGCATGTCCTTAAAACCCAGCACTGGGAAAGCAGAGGCAGTAGGATTCCTCCAGCTTGCTGAGCAGCCAACCTCCTTTTACTTGGTGAATTCCGAGCCAGTAACAGAGTATGTCTCAAAAAAAGGTGGCCCGCACCTGAAGAATGACACTTGAGATTGTGCGTGCATGCACATGCATACACATGCACTCATGCAGCAGTGCAGCAAACAGCGTGTGCAAGAGAAAGCCAGCAGTCTTCTCTAGGCATTAGCCTACAAGTCTCCCTCACTGCTGCTGTGTGGTCATGCGCAATCATGGGCTGCATGGCCCAAGGGGGACCTAGATTTTTGAGAAATGTAAGAGAAAGGCCTTGCATTCAGCTTTGAATAAATGAATCCCGGTCTTCAGAATGCCTGGTGGTGGAGGGAAAAGCAGATGATCTTCATTACAGATCTGCCTGGACTGTCCAAAGGAAGATCCTAGTTACACAGGATTAGCACTGGCCAGCGGCAAACCTAGAGTACAGGCACATGCTTATGCCTGTGTGAATTAGTCTATTTGAACACAAAGACTGTTCCTGGTATTTACAGACAAATGAAATAGAACTCCAAGGAATATATCAGTAACTAGTTTTCCTTTTCTCTAAAGTATTTGTTGAGGCATTATATACATGTAAACACCACACAATTTCTATGACGAATACACAGAGAATCCCTGTCTACACACCCAGCCACATACTAATGTGCCTTTTAACTAGGATGTCCCGAGTTCTTTGTTTTATCACGAGTTTATGAATTTCTTCCGAGAACAGTCTCTTTTGGTGGAATCTTAGCCTTCCAGTGTCTGTTGCTATTTTAAGCTGTGCAAAAGCCACTTTCAACCCGTTTTTGAGTACTGGGATTGAACTTAGGGGGAGAGAGCCTCTTGCATGCCAAGCAGGCACCTGCCAACTTGGTGATAGCTGGGACTTATTTACTCTTATTTTGGTTTTGGACAGTTTTGTTTGTTTGAGACAGGGTCTCACTATATAGTCTTGGCTAACCTGGAACTCACTCTGTAGACGAGGCTGACTCCAGACTCACAGAGATCCACAGTCTTTGCCTCCTAAGTGCTGGGATCAAAGGTGTGCACCGCTACACCTGGGTACTGTTTTGTTTTGTTTTTGGTTTTAGTTTCACTTATGTCGTTCAGGATATGCTAAAACTGGCAATCCTTCTGCCTCAGCCTTCTAAGTGACAGGACTATAGGCAAGTGCTGCCACACCAGCCTGCTTCTGTTTTGTTTGGGTGTCAGGGTGGAGTACGGTGGGCCGCAGTAGGCTCATTCTCCTGGCCCCAAGTCAGTGCGGGCCGCTGTCCTCTTCTCCCCAGCGCATCACTGATGAGGGCGTGGTGCAGATCTGCAGGGGCTGCCACCGGCTGCAGGCCTTGTGCCTCTCGGGTTGTAGTAATCTCACGGATGCATCTCTCACAGCCCTGGGCCTGAACTGCCCCAGACTGCAGTGAGTATGACCCACTTTTGCTTCTACGATTGTGAGGACTAGGCTGCAAGAGGGGAGAGGGGTGACGGAGCTAGGAGCTGTCGGGTGGACTGGAGGAAGACAGCGCCTGACCCCGTCGGGTGGTGTGAGCACGATGACTCTTCCTATGTTTCTTGATCTGGTTCATGCATTTGCCCGTGGTTTGACTCATTCCATTAGGCTCTGGCCCTCAGAGTGGTCTGGCGGCGAACAGACTTGTGGTGGGTCTCTAGGGCACCTGTCAGTGGATGGGCAAACCCGGGAAAGGTGGGTCTCTAGGGCACCTGTCACTGGATGGGCAAACTCAGGAAAGGTAGCTGCTTGCGTCTTTCTGAATATTTGGAGGAAGGGCTGGCTCCCAAGGCAGAGTGTTACTGTCCACCGCCCCAAGCACTAACCCTGCACATGCAGAAGCTTGTTGCCTCAAGAGTAGCTGCTCCCTGTAGGCCTGTGCCATCCTGATCTAACTCAACACATCCACCTGTGTGGACACTCACTCCACACTGACCTAACTCAACACAGCCACATGAGTGGACACTCACTTTCGGCAGAAACTGAGGCCCAGAGGAAAGTCAGTTTGTCCTGCACCTCATGATGAATAAGGAGAGAAGCTAAACCTGTAGATTTCTATCTCAAGACCAGCAGGTTTTTGTTTTGTTTTGATTTGCTTTTTGAGACAGAGTTGTTCAGTGTAACAGCCCTTGCTGTCCTGGAACTCTCTGTGGACCAGGCTGGCCTCAAACTCACAGATTCCACCTGCCTCTACCTCCCAAGAGCTGGGATTAAAGGTGTGGGCCATCACTGACCAGCAAAACCAGCAGTTTTGGTTTTTTGAGACAAGGTTTCTCTGTAGCTTTGGAACCTGTCCTGGAACTAGCTCTTGTAGACCAGGTTGGCTTCGAACTCACAGAGATCTGCCTGCCTCTGCCTCCCAAATGCTAGGTGGGATTAAAGGAGTGCACCACCACCACCACCCAGTTTTTTTTTTTTAATCCAGCAGTCTTAATCCAAACAACTATACAAGAAGTAGTGGGAAAGTTTTATTTAATCATTTATTTTCATATTCCAGTGAAACTGTTTCTTTTTTTTTCTTCTTGTGAGACAGTGTTTCTCTGTGCAGCCTTGGCTGTCCTGGAATTCACTCTGTAGACCAGACTGTTCTCAAACTCACAAAAATTCACCACTGTCTGCCTCCCAAGTGCTGGGATTAAAGGTGTGCACCACCGTCACCCAGCTCCTGTTTGTTCTTATGAGAATTAACTCATGTTTTCTTATTGCACAGTTTACATTTTCCTAGAGGGCAACTAGAAATTTCACTGTCTAGGGGCTGAAGATGTAACTTGGTGGGAGAGCGCTTGCCTGCATGCATGAGGGCCTTAGCTCAATCCCCAGCACCAAAGAATGAATAAGTGTCATGGATGTAAAGATGATTTTGTTTAGCAAAAGTCCGTTTTAATTGTGTTTTTAAAAACAGTGCTGGGCAGGCTCCTTGGTCACTGTCTATGTCTCTGATGAGACATTAGAACTCTGCTCTGGTCCACGTACCCTGGTGCTGCTATCTGTCCTGAGGCTGTGGTTGTGTGTCCCTGAAGGACATGGGGAGGAAGCTCAGTGTGCTGCATCATGCAGTGCTTCTGTTGTTAAGTAGGCTCTGCTTCTGCTCTCCCCTCCCCAGGATTTTGGAGGCTGCTCGATGCTCCCATTTGACTGATGCAGGCTTTACACTCCTAGCTCGGGTAAGGCACTGAGTTTGAAACAAAACTGCGATGTAACTCAACCTGCTAATTCAGAGTAGCTCAGGTAGTTTTGGGGAGCACAAACAAATCAAATTTTAACTTCAGAAGAGATGAACATGAGGTAGGATGGAGCCCTTTCGGTGGGTTGTGCACCTTTTTCAGCAGGCCAGGACACTAGGGAGATCCTGGCAGGCGTGTCCCACCTTCCGCATAGTGCTGTCAATTCCAAGGTTCATTTTATGAGCTGTGCGCTCAGACAGACACGCCTTTAATCCCAGTGAGTTCAATGCCAGCCTGGTCTACAAGAGCTACTTCTAGGACAGGCTCCAAAGCTACAGAGAAACTGTCTCGAGAAAAAACAAAAGAACTGTGCACTTTAGAAGAAATGCTGGCCAGCCAGAGCTCTCGCTGGGCAGGTGCAGCCCACAGGCTGCAGTTCAGACATGCCCTCAGAGCATTCTGCAGGGAGTTCAGGCCTCATTGTTGACACCTTGAACAGAACCTTCTCTCTGGTGGCAGGTGCCCTTTCTGTATGGACCCAGCTGGCGTCTGCACAGCTTTCCCTACCACGGCCGTGCTCCCCATCTTGTGTGCTGCCCGTGGTACCCGGTCTGTCTTCCTGTCCTCTCCAGTGTAGGAGGGTGACAGCCCTCTCTGGGTTGAGAGGATGGTGTGGCCCGCAGTAGCCACAGTCATTGTCTGAAGTGAGTTCAGACTCGGAGGGCGGCCACTCTGAATTGCTGGTTTGTGATGGCTATAAGTAGGGCTCACTCCTACAGGGCCAGTCCTCACGTGGCCCATGTAGCCGAGTGTTTTGTGGCCTCTTTCAGAACTGTCATGAGCTGGAGAAGATGGACCTTGAAGAATGTGTCCTGGTGAGTGTACTTCTGGCAGCCACTTGGGCTGCACTGTCACTGCTGAGGGCCTGGTGTAGTAGCAAGAACAGGCGCTGCCATTTCCTCAGCATGGTGGTGGGTATTGGGCCCCATTAGGCCATTTGTAATGGGACTTGTGTTTGGCTGCGCCAGAACTTCAGATAGACTTTAGCAGAGACATGCAAAAGAGCACCATCCATTTCCAAGCATAAGCAGAACTTCCTTTTATTTTACATAGTCTGTGAGAGGAAGGAACCTGTATGTCAGGTGATAGGGTAACTACAGAGAAGGGTGTCCTGGGTAACCCCTTGTCTGCCTGCTTTTGTGTCCCGACTTTAGGCTCCCTGAGGCACCAGAAGCAAACAACAGTGTGCCTCCCCAGGTGTTGACAGTTTAGTTTTCTTTTGTGTTCTCTGATCCCCATGTTTAAGAGAAGTCAGGATTATTAGGAGGCGTTAGGGCCTGGCATGGAAGCCACATTGACAGCCTGTTTCTCTCTAGATCACCGACAGCACCCTCATCCAGCTCTCCATCCACTGTCCCAAGCTGCAAGCCCTGGTGAGTGAGTTACTGGTGACAGCAATGACTTACGCATCCCTCTCATACGGGTCCCCTTCCTGTAGAGTACCGTCACTCTTGGTCTCAAAGAGCTCCTTGTTGGGCTAACCTGGGCTGTGAGGTATATGGATGTTACTGTTTCCACTGTAGGAAGTGAAGCTGATAGGGACCCACTGCCCCATCACTTCACTGAACCCCAAGTCCATCTTGTCAGGGAGAGCAAAGTTGGCATGTGAAATGTTACATGGACCAAAGATAGGGGCCATCCTCCTGATAGACTTGCCTTTTATATGTACTCAGCTGGAGCGGTAAAGAGGTCTGAGCATGTTTGGAAAGATCTAACAGCAGTCATCGTAGGGGCTCCTGGAAGAGCAGGGCCCAATGCCCTTCTTTGGAATGACTCCCAAAATCAGAGTTCTCCCCAGAGGGTTGAGCACCAAAAGCCCCTCTCAATGTGCCCTCCCCCATTTTTATATGTGCTGCTTCTAGAATCAGGGCATAGGAGCAGAGCTGAACTGTGACATCACCACGAGTCAGGTGGTCTGAGGCGTGCAGCTGTGATATTTAGCTCCTGGGAACCCCACATAGAAGACTTCAGGTGTGAGCCTAGGCTGACTGGCATGCAGAGACCATATTTCGAAGAAGAGAAGGGAGAAGAAAAAAGCTTACTCCAGAAACCAAAGTAAGAAGCGCCAAGGATAGCTAGCAGACAGTCAGGCCTGGGAGGCTCCTCTTCAGAACTGAGATTCTTAGAAGGAGCACCTGTAGGCTGCAGACTGTCCTGAGGGCTCCTCTGGCCGGAGATGGTTCTCACTGGAGAAGACAGGAAACTCAAGCAGCAGACTTTGCTCTGAAATTTGAATCTCTGCATAAGGGATGTGCGTGCCCCTGACTTCTTCAGAGCTTGTAGGTATCTCAGGATGTTAAGATTTACAAGATAAGGCTCTCCCATGGGCCCACAGTTTCTCTCCAGAAGCCCACACCACCTCTAGCACAGACCCCCCTACCACAGCCTAGCTTTCCTTATTGGATGAGAATGCACCCAAACCCATGGTTGTTTTGAGTCCACCTCAGCATCATATAAAATGCTTTATGGGATGTGCTCAGCTGTTGATACTGTGAATGGCGTGTGGTAGATAGCCTTGCACATCCAAATTCAAAGTGTTGATCCACGACAGCCAAGGTGAAACAACCCAAATGTTCGTCAACAGGTAAATGCAGTGTGCTGCATACACACATAATGTTCTGATGGGAGAAATCCTGGCACCTGCCTCAACATGGATGAGCTTTGAGGACATGATACTAACTGAAGTAGCCACTCTCCCAAAGACAGTGTTGTCTTTTGTAGGCATTGCCACTTCACTGAGATAGCCAGTCAGTCACATGGATAGAAGGCAGCTCGGCAGAGGGAAGGAGATATGCCCTGTAGTGAGAGCACCGAGAAAAGTTCCTGGAGCCCCACTGAGTAACAACCCAAACTATAGAATCACAGGCTCTCAGCTCAAGGGCAACAGAAAAGGTTACACACAACACAGAAGGGCAGGCTTCTAGACAAGTGCAGTCACTGAGGAACTCGAGGGAGTCAAAGGGGAGGTTAAGGGATGAAGATCAAAATGCAGCACATCAAGATGTGGGGGTACAGCCAAGACAGCACTGCAGACCCCACACCAGTGCCTGCACTTGAGAGAGGTCTCAACTCCATGAGCCAGAACAGAGTAAAATAAATAAGCCCAAATTAAAAGGACATAACATGGTAGAGATCAGTGAAGCTGAAACCAAAACCGCAGCAGTATCTTAGCCACATTGCAGCTTTGGAAATAGGCCCCCAGGCCATGCTACCATCACAGCTGTCCAGGCTGAGCATCCCTTATCCAAAAGGTTTGGGACAGAGGTGCTTGGGCTGTTTCATTACACACGTATCATATGCAATATACAAATGAAGTGCTTGGGATTAGTGCCAAAGTCTAAACACAAATTCATATCTGTCTTGTTCAACTGTGGCCTGCTTCACAAGGTCAGCTGTGGATTTCCTGTTTATGTGTTGATATTCCCTGTTTGTGGTACTGTGTCAAACATTTTTAGATTTTGGAGATTTTCCAATTTTCACAGTTATGGATTTGACAACATAGGTGAAATGGACAAATAAATCACTTGATGTAAAACAACCCCAATCTCTTAAGGAAATTCACTTATCTTTAAATTCTTCCAAACATTCACGTACAAATAGATTTGCTTAAAATTCTTCCTAACATTTAAAGAATTAACAGATTCTATACTGATGAGCTCTCTGAGAAGTGTAACATATTCTCAGTGACTCTGGGATCAAAAACCCGTGGGCAGACTTGGTGGAGAGGGTGTTTGCTGCCAAGCCTGATCCAAACGGTAGTAGGAAAGAGCCATCTCCCACAAGTTATTCAGACCTCCACTTATGCCATGCATTGGCTTGCGTGGCCTGCACGCCCCATGCTCTAGCTCCTGTTTCTCTCCATCCAAGGACATCCTCTATTTCCTGCTAAACTCTAAGCCTGACATTCTCCTCCACCATCTGGGACCTTGCAGCACTCTGCCCTTTCCTACTCAGCCCCAGTACCTCAGACATTATCTCATAGTCTCTTCCCCAGGGTAAACACATCAGTCACTCACAGGCACGGTCCCCCACCCCCACGACCTTTTATGTTGGTGTGGATTTTCTACTTTCACAGTGGAGAAACTGTCCAGTCTGAAGTTACTAAGTAAACTTGGCTATGTAACCTTTATTATCACTCCCAAGAGGTTAATGCTTATGCAAGGGTCAAGGTCTCAGACGCCTACACTTTAATGTACGTGTTTGTCTGTGCTAGGGTGATTGCACGTGACTACAGGTGCTCACGGAAGCCAGTGGCACTGGATCCTCCTGTAGCCAGAGTCACAAGCAGTGGTGAGCCACCATCTGAGTTCTGAAAACCAAACTTTGGTCCTCTGGAAGAACAGTGTGTGCTTTTAACTACTGAGTCCCTGTACATTTTAAAGGAACAAGGGCACCAAAACGGCTCGCTTTACTGGTGAAGCCTCTACTCAGATGGTGAACTGGGCCATAAAATTGCTCAAGGGGGAAACTTTGAACTACCCCCCTGAAACATGTATTTCCTTATTTCTGGTTAAAGTTAGCTGCCTGGGCGCAAAAAAACCCAGGGCCTTGTCAGCTCCTCTCCAGACAAGGAAACGGTGTCACAGCCATTTTATGCAGGTCTTACAGAAAACCCCAAGCAAGTGTTTCCTGCAGTACTGGATGTCGATCTGATGAGGTTTTGTAGAATCCAGCCTTTCCATTTTCCATTCATTCACAAAGGGGGCCCTCCCCAACACATGGCACCCAATTCCCAGCATGTGCTTTTCAGAGGACAAATCACACCACAGCCAGCAGTTACTCAGGGGCACTTGAGGGACCGACTCCCCAGCTCTTACCTCTGAAGGAACATATTTCTTCCCTCCCCAGAGTTTGTCCCACTGTGAGCTCATCACAGATGAAGGGATCCTACACCTGAGCAGCAGCACATGTGGGCATGAGAGACTGCGGGTCCTGGAGCTGGACAACTGCCTCCTTGTCACGGATGCTGCACTGGAGCACCTGGAGAACTGCCGTGGCTTAGAGCGGCTGGAGCTGTACGACTGCCAGCAGGTCACTCGTGCAGGCATCAAGCGCATGCGGGTAGGTGCGAGTCCCTCCTTGGCTCTCCCTCAGCAACTGAGGAATACCCAGAAATCAACATCCAGGATGTTAAGAGAGCTCAGCAGGTAAAGGTGCTTGTTTCCTGTCTCCCTGAGTTCAAGAACATACAAAATAGACTAGAACCAATTCCCAAATGTTTTCTCACCACCACATACATAATGTGGCATGCACTTGCACTAGTGCATACAATGTACTTAAAAAAAAGTCAACATCCACTTGTCTAGTCTGTTGTGTTTATGCAAGCTGGTCTGATTCCATACACAGTACTACCTTAGGCTTCTTCAAACATCTACCCTTGGAGGTGTAGGTTCCATGTAGTCTGGTGACAGGCACTTTCACAAGCTTCCAAGGCAAGCAACTAAAGGTCACTGTTTTAAGTGTAGGGGCTGTTTACAAATAGGTAATCACTGTCACTGGACAAATGTTTCCATTTGTCTTTAGAAGGGATGAACAGGAGCAGTTCTAGCTTAGAGCATTCTACCTTCCTAATGTTAAGGTAGAGTCAATTTTAAATGGACTTCAAGTTTTCTAAGGTTATACAAGAATGCTAATGCCAGGGCAGACTATTCCCCCTTTTCCATCTCCTTCCAGGCTCAGCTTCCTCATGTCAAAGTCCATGCCTACTTTGCTCCAGTCACCCCTCCACCAGCAGTGGCAGGAAGTGGACATCGACTGTGCAGGTGCTGTGTCATACTCTGACAGCAGCTCCTTAGGCCAAGGGCCCCATCCTCCAGGTTAGACCAGTCTCCTGACTGCGCCACCATCACCCTATCTCGACTCTCCATTGGGAAACATTACAGAAAAGACTTCAGCACAGATTGCAGTAACTGGTGATTCCATTCACCTTAACCTTGTTGGGATGCAAGCAAATCAAAGCCTGTGTCAGTTACCATATGGCAAGAGTGGTGTGGTGCAGCCAAGACCACACAAGTAACCCGGAGCCCTTCAGCGGTGGATACCCACCTAGGCACACAGCCCTACCTGGCTTTGTCAGCATCCAACACATAGACCTTCAGTGTTAGCACAACCAGAGCAAAGAGCCTGTGGTTTTCTACCTGGTCCTTAAGCCAGTGGCCTACTTTAATTCATAACGATTCCTACTGATTTGCAGAACTTCCATTTTGAAGACTAAATAGCACCTTTATCAATGTGACTGTACTGCAAACTCAGAATGGCTGGTAGTTTTGTATGTAGAAACGTGTGTGAAAGGCATGTTAATACATTTCCAGAGAACACCAAAGAATGAAGACTCTAAGCTGGGTGGGGCATGATCTTCACCCTTCTGTGTCAACCTGTCATATCCAATTATAGGAACTAAAACCTAAACAAAAGCAACCTACTCCGCAGTGCCCCACTGGAAATGATAAGCTCTGCCATGTGCTACAGTAGCAGCAATGCATTTCTGTTAAAGGAAAAAAGCCAATTATGTCCACACTTCTCAAAAAATTTGGGGGAACCTTGAAGAAACTCAGAATTAAGGCTTACGTTATCTATAATATAATCAAGTGAAAACAGTGAATGGGTGCATGAGAATGGATTTTTTTTTCAAATTTACTCTGAATTTTTAGATATCATACCAGAACTACATTAAAGCTTCACACATGGAAAAACTCAAACGAGTAAAGTGTTGGCACCTTTTAAACTCCTAACAAGCCCTTCCAGTGCTCACTAGACTTGGTCAGAGCCTCTACTGCTGTGATGCTCAAGCTGGTAAATCTGAGCAAAGCAAGTCTCCAAACACAGGTGTTTTTGCATCACCTGAACTAGGGTAGGACACCCAGGCTTTTACTGTGGCTGCTGCCTGCTCTGTGCCGTTGACAGTTACCACCGCCTTCAATGTGACCTTAGGGGCTAATGGCAACTGAACCTTTCTAGCAACCACTCCCCAGCCAAAACTGCAAAACTGAGCTGTTTTTCTGTGTCTCTGTGGACAGTGTTACAGCATCTGTACACAGTGCCTCAGCTGCATTCTGAGTGGAAAGCAGATACACACATATACCCTGGAAATTCATCAGGAGAATCCTTGTAAGCATCAGCTTACTGTAAGTTCGACTACCTTGTTATGACATGTTGCAGTACTGCCAGGCTTGGACTATATATCACATCAGCTATTAACTGTATGGGGGGGGGTGAAGTATGTACTAGACTTACTTCAGTGCTTCATGAACTCATTCTGTTAAATACCAGAGACAACCATACATTTTTCTGAGCTAGCCTATCATAGTGTTGGACTTGATTCACAACAACCATAACTTCACTCACAGACTAGAAGAACCTCTTGTCAGAGAGCCTGATTTGTCTTCTGTAAATAGAGAACAGTTCCTATAATTACCTGTCTTGAGTTGCATCACCTTTGTGGAAATCAGCAGAAAAGGAAAAAAGGGCAGGGACAGCCCACAGGGGTGAACCTCTTACAGTGAGGCCACTAAGGTGTGTGTAGGACACACCCAGGAAAGTCCTTCATTCCATGTGACCTGAGATGACAGTAGCACAACTTAAAGACTTTAAATGAGTGACACATTTACGAAAAAAATCAGAAAACATTTATTACACTGAACTGTACATCCTATTAACCAAAGTAGCAAATTGCTGGTGCTGTGGGTTCTGTACAGTTTCACTGAGACAGACTAGCACTTTTTGCAGCTCAGCACAATTTCAAGTCTGAGGAGCCTGTAAGTACTTTTACCCCACTTCTAAAACCTGATAAGGAATTCAAAATAGCACACAGCATTAAAAGACATTTATTGTTCCATAAATCATGAGATCCAAAAAAGAAAGCTAACAGACAAGCAAAACTCTAGAAACAATCAGGAGATAAATTCACTTCTTTCCCAAATAAGTGACTGGTACAGAAAGCATGTGGTCACACAAAAGCAAAGGGAAGGACAGATAGGAACACTCCCCTCCTCAAGGGCCTGCAGAGCTATAGCACTGCCAAGCCCAAGATGAAAATATGGAGACCGAGTTTAGAGTTTGTGGCAAATAATTAACCCCCACTATGAATACAATGCAAGACGTTTAAAGCCTTTACCCACTGAAGTAGTCATTCCTACCCACCTGAACAAGGGTCAGACAGACATTCATAGCCAGCAACTGAGCAAATGGGCAGAGATACTACATAATTAAAACAGAAAAAGGTTTTTAAAAACTCGGACCTGCTAAAATGTTTGCTGATGAATTCTGGGGAGGAAGGGAAAAGCCGAAGAATCCCTTTGAGAGTGGTGTGCGAGCACATGTGATCCTATAAAGAGGCACACCTGTTACAGACACAGCAGCAAAGATGTAAAACACCTTAATAGCCCTGAACTAATCACCAGCATGTATATCCATGATTGTACTGAAACTCAGCATCTGAGGGGTGAAGTGGGGGTTATGGTACATTTTAGTGTCTTGTTATGACATCTAGTGTTTCCATGGGTACTTTCGTCTCATTCAAAACAAAGATCCCTTTAACACCAAGTCAGAGGCTACCAACAATAATACTTTGTTTCCCCTATTACATCATCTAGTTCTAATGTCTGGGGAAGGGCTTTAAATACATTTAAGAACAGAGCCAAGCACAAAACAAGTGAATTGTGCACCTGGAGTCCCAGCTACTCGGGAGGCTTAAGTGTGGGGGGAATGGAGAACAGGGGAGACGAGAGAAGGAAACCACATGAGTTTAAAAAGCAAGGAGGTTTCAAAAGGTGAAATCCAGAACTAAAATGCTAAAAATGGAAGCAAAAGCCAAACACCCACGTCTTTGTGCCTATCAGGGCTTACACTGACCTCACACCAAGGTACTGCTGAAAGTTTTGCTCATCTTCTCTGCTTGGCTTTTCCCTGGTCTGGCATGATGTCCTCAGACGTATACCTTCAGACATGATGGATCGCTTCTGACAAGGTGCTCAGCCTCTTACCTGACCAATGTTGCTGTGTCAGCACTGCATAACTCCCCAAAGAGAGCACACCTATCTCCTCCCCAGGTCAGCATAAAGGTCAGGCAACAGAAGCCAAACTGGCATAGAAAGGTAAATGCCCACGGTTGAGTTTTTACATTCATTTTCAAACCGCATACAGTGTCAAAGCCAGCAGAGACTGCTTCTGGGAACTCTGTCCACTGGCCCCTGTGCCCACACCATGGGCCGGGAGCTAGTTGCACGTCGACTGATGTGCTCGCTCTCGTGAGGGTGCTGGGCTGTGGCAGTGACAATGAGGAGACTTGTCTCTCCTACAGCTCATTAGGAAGGTCATCTTGTGTTTTCAATATGAAACATTTCACAGTAAAATCCAATCCCAAGACTTCTTGGATTCAGTCTTCACACACTTTAAGCATGACTTTATTTGGTACTGAATAGAGTTCAGTCTGTATAAGGTATCACTTCAAAATTATGTGAATACCATCATTATTTTCAGCTGCCAAGAAAAGGAAAAAGTTAAAAAAAAAACACCCTAAACTTAGAAAAGAAACATTATTAAAGATGGAAATGTACAATCTGCTTCAGAGGTTACAGTTAATTGCTTTGCTCTAGTTCTGCTTCCTTAGACAACTCTATACCTATTCCCTGGAACACTGCTCTGGGACTCCAGCCCCTGCACCTCTTGCTGGCCCTAGAGGGAAGGGTTTGTAAGAACAGCACCAGGAATTCTTGTATGCTAGAGGTAAAATAGGCCACAGCACTGTGTGAGGGCAGAGCTGAGAAAGCCCTGCACAAAATGTGCAGGCAGCCTGAAGGTTCTGCTGTAGGCATCCATCTTTCTCTCCTGGAAAGCTGAACCCGCAGAGGCAGATACATAACAAGACTCTGCCTAATGGCCTCAGGAAATCGTGAGAGGCAGTGGAGGCATTCATAAAAACAGAAAGAAGGCTTTCATGGGTTCCAAGTCTCACAAATGGTAAACTAAGAACAGAGAAGTCCGTGAGGACTAATTCTGCAAACAACCACTGGTTTCACAAGCTACAAGTATATGATTAAGCATGGGTTTCTGGAATTTTGCAAGGTAAAAGTTATATGGTTTTAAAATTAAAGGTGTTTGTTTCTGCACATGACTAAGAAGTGAGCCAGTTCACTGCTGCCTTGGGTCTTGAGGTAGCTCGATGGCCAGCGGCACATGAGCAACATTTTGTAATTTCAACCCTTTGGGGCTGCTACTTTGCAGAGTGACTACCAGGAGAGGGGGACTTGAGAGGGACCAGAGAGGACTTGTCCTCTTCTGGGTGGGGGTCCTGTGCTGAGACTAGTATAACTGATCTTAGCCCATGTTCCGCCTTCATGAAGCCCTCCCCTCTCTAACTTTGTGGTTTTGAGCTCACTTGACCTGGCCTGGACCTCTTCCCACACTACTCCCTAATTAGCTCTGTACAGTCTGCCCAGCTCTTATTCACTACTGACATATGAAAATTTCTAAATTAGTACCTCAAGCCTAAGGAACCTCAGAATGGTACAATTAGCTGCCTGCTTGACATGCCAAGTTGTTCTGCATCAACCTTACTTACCATTACCTCAACTCTTTGATGAGGCAGCCACCTGTCCTGGCAGCCACAACTACTCCCCCATCAAACAGGGAGCCAAATGGGCCCTGTCCACATGTCCTGACACTCCTATCACCTCTTGCCTAGATCGACTGCCTACTCCAGTTTTGCCATCTTGTTATCTCCACAGTTGTAGTAGAAGAAAAACTCAATCCCATTATTCCTTTGTTTAAACCACTTCCCTGACTTCCCAACCCATCTGAAATAAGATCCAGTGACCAACGTCAGCAGCCATCACTGCATGCCAGGAGCTGCCTCTCTCCCTGACCCCACTCTGCTCTGCTCACCCTCACCCTACATGGCATCTGCATGGCCGCCTTCCAGCCCTCACAAACGCCAAGTGCATTCTTCTGCACAGTTTCATGCTGCCCTTGGGCTAGTCCTGTGGCCAGCTCATTTTTCAAATCACCTCAGAAAAGCCTTCTGTTAACAGCTTGATGATTCCCCTCCCCCATGTTCCCCACAACACCCAATACTGGTCAATTTCTGTGCCTGGGACCAATTCTGACTTTTCCCACTACCCTTGTTCCATCCAAGCACTAACACAGTCTTGGATACATCGTTCAGCAAATACTGGCAGAATGGCCAGTCATCTAGAAAACCTAAGTCTTTCTGTATTTGCTAGATAATTTCTATTAGAGACACTAAAAATACTGTTCATTCATATTCCAACCTCTTAAAATTAGCAAAAACATCAAAACATCTTTTTCAAGAATATTCATGCACAGCTAGGCAGTAGTGCCTATAATTGTAAGACTCGGGAGGCAGAGGAGGCCAGCCTGGTCGCCAGAGCTACACAGAGAAACGCTGACTGGAATAAACAAAAACAAACAAACAAACAAAAACAGAATATGCACACACAAGAGAGCTGCTATCAGGGGCACACTGCCCTTCATGATCACAACATGCTGAGGCACACACACATGAAAAGTACCTTTCACTGTGGAGAATAAAAAACAACTCTCGTCTTGAAAGTTCTGAACCATCTAGAAGGATAAAGCAGATGTGTAAGTGTATAAGACCCATCAGTCCTTAACTATAAATGGTTAAATTTTTGGTAAAAGTAGTACAGCATAATCCTTACATCTTTCTTACACAAATACAGGATCCAAATAATTCATGACAGTAGTATGAGATGGTAAAGGATTACACCTGTCACCGGTGAGCCACTGAGAAGCATGCTGTGCCAGGTCCTATGGATACTGACTTTCTCTATTATTACTGCTTGTCAGTGAGCATAGCTTGAGCAAGGGGCATGCTGTACTTGTGATATTACATGTTTTTAAAATACTGCTCTTCCAATAATGTCTAAAAGGAGAACATATTTAATGCCTTACCTCACAGGAAGGACCAAAGACTGCCACTAACCTTAGAGCCCCAGAAAATATCTAAGTTCTCTACTTAGATGCTTTTATTCCTGGTTACACATTTTGATCCCACATCTTTAAAAACGACTATCAGTACTTGCAAAAGAAGTCAGCAGCATTTCTTACAGCTCCAGCACTGTGTGAGCACCACTGGGAAAGGAAGAGTGATTACTGCCTGTTTGATTTACCTGGTCACTAACAAGAATGTGGATACCAGTAGGGCCCTGTCTGTAAACCTGGTTAATTTGGTGAAAAGGAATATTAAACACCGAGGCAAGTTTTCGAGCAACTTCTGAGGCAACCATTTCTTCCAAGTAGATTGCATGATAAACTGGAAAAAAAAAAAAAGAAAAATAGCACTTTTACAATAATGTTTGGTCTGATCTATACTTGATCCATAGAGGCCACCTTTTCAGAGTACCAAAGAAATAAAATTCAAACTTAGAAATGGGGACAAGGTAATGTTTCTTTGCCCTCTTAAGATCTCTACCCACTTATTTGAAGTAAAGAACACATTATTTATGATCATGTATAATAAATACTAATTTTGTATAAAATGATGTGATTTTATATTTTTCTGCAACAAAGTCTCATATAATTGAGGGTTTAAAAAAAAGAGCATCAGCTGGGCGTGGTGGTGCACCCCTTTAATACCAGGCAGGTGGATCTCTGAGTTCAAGGCCAGACTGGTCTACTGAGTGAATTCCAGATAGCCAGGGCTACACAGAGAACCCTTTCTGGGCGGGGGGGGGGGGGATTAGGGATCAGGGTTATGAAACAATAGATTAGGGCAAAGGACAAAGGATGAAAAAAATATTTGCTCTGCTGTATAAATTACATCATAAGCAAGCTGGGTGTGTTTTTTTGTTTTAAATGTTTCTAATAATGCATAAAAAGAACTGTAAAAGGAATCTGAACCAGTAATTCTCCAAATGAGGTCTTAAGAGTAAAAATTATCTGTGTCATCTATTATAGACACACCAAATCAAAAGAAATGAAGACAATACCATATGAAAAGTAAGGATAAACAATGAAGTCTGGTTCTTCTTTAGGAAAAACCCCAGCCTCAGTTCAACATCTGCTGCTCCGTTATTTCTGTCCATACTTAAAGTCACAGCACTGTGAATCTGTGAGAGTGTCACCCAAGGGGATTGCTCAACCACTGACTCTAGCCAGACACAGATCTGCAATAGGGAAACTGAAAAGTCGTCTTCCCAAATAATAGCTAAGTGTATAAGAATGTTGACTAATTACACACTTGGAAGAGTTTTGAATTAAAACTCAAAACTGAAGGTAACTCTGAAGGACTACCATACCGAAGTCTGGAGACCAGTTGCTGCCCTCTGGCTCCTGTAATAAAGTGGAAGCAACTCTCTGTTTATGGGAACAGGGTCAAAGCTGTTATCCACGTGCTGTGATGGCAGAGGTCAGTGCAGAAACGCCCCTGTGGCTGACGGTTTCCTATCTGGTCTTAAGTTCACTAAATGTGAATGGTCAAGGATAAAAATTTTCCACCTATTCCTACCACACCCCCAACACTAATCACTGAGGACATGTAATACAATAATACTATATTCCTGGCAAAATTGGGAATCATGTATATGATGGAGTGATACAGAAGGCTCCTTTAAGAATTTGTATCCTCAAACTTAAAAGTCACAGCTCATGCCTGGGGCTAAATGACACGAATGGAAAGGCCCACAACTGTGATTTACAGCTCTTCCAATTACAGAAATCTAAGCCATGAAGTATTTTTTAGAGCTCCACCCACTGTCAGGGTAAGTAATTGCCTC